AAGAATCACCGGCCGTTTCTGCGGCAAATGATGAAAATGCATCGTTTTTTTATTTCTTACGTTGTAAAATTGGTTGGAGCAGCCTGGCGCAAAACAAAATACCCCTCCTATAGTGAGTTTACTCGTCTTTGGCTCTCATTCGCCATTTCAGCCATCCTAATCTGCTCTCATTCAATACGCAGGCTACACAACCCATTACGTCACGTGAAGTGGCACAGCTTTACGTTCCCCTCAATGTCGCTAAAGTGGAACTTCTGTCACAGTTTTCTAGAAATGTATTACATTTTGAGAGTCGTACAGTGATTTGTGAAGTCAAGAGGCAGTCTTAAAAATAATGGTAACTTGAGTCAGTGTTTCATGTCCTCTTTAAAACCAGCACAAATGCTATGACGCTTCTGTCTTGAAGACTACAGGCTCTAAATTTGCGCCCTGCCAGCGGTGTGGCGCAAGTCAGGTCTGTAACGCAGATGGGGCATGTCATAGCGCACTTCGCTAAATTGGAGGGCAATGAAGCCCAGCACAACAACACCCCATTCCAATCTCAGCCCCTCCCAGTGGCGCAGGTAGGAAAGAGGGAGGAGAGAGTGCGTGGAATGGGTTCAACACAGCCGAGTAAATTATTTGCCAATCACGCCAGCTCCTCTCCTCACCTTTATACTTTAAATGTGCCACGGGCAAGTTGTATTGCAAAATTCATGAAGTACTCTACAAGAGGTGGCCCCTCAACAAGTGTTGCACTTATCATTGCAAAGGATGTCATGTCCTCCACACTCTCTTATAAGCATAGAGGGATTTGGTGTGTGTGAGACTGGGTAAGACAAACATCCTTTTCCACAAATAACAAGAAGAGGAAGAAGAACTTTATTGATCTCCAAAGGGAAATTCAATAAAGACACTCACATCTAGTTGCATACATTAAAAGCCCATGTGACAAAGGTGGGTTGTGTGCACAGATCACAACATAAGCAAATGCCATGCATAATGGCTGCCTGTGAACCGCCTGTGCGTAAAGGACGCCTAATGCTCCGTGGCCTGGCTTTTCCTTCCACTAATGTTTGAATGTGAAATGAACTTGGCTCACGCAACTGAATATTATAATATTGGCATGTACCCCTAACTGCTAATTGAATATTCACAGAATTTAAGAATGTGGAAACATTAGATAAACAGGTTATTTCAAAATGAAAGTGTCTTTTATTGTTCTGTTCACATTTTTTAAATGAATAACTTGTTTGATCGCTAAAATAAAAATAAATCATCTGGTCAGCGTTAGCAGCCTGCCACCACAGTAACAGCAGCAGCAGCCGCCGCAGCAGGATGGGTAGAGGGCGTGGAGGCATGTTCGGGTTCTGGTGCAGAAAGAGGAAGAGTGCGAGATTCCAAATGTTGGACAGGGAGCTGGGGACGATCAATGTCTGGCTACATGCACGGAATGCGAGCCTCAAGTCCCACAGGCAGGTGATGGTGCTCGTTTCCAGTCCCTTGAGTGGGTTATGGAGGCACGTGTGCAGTCTCTGCAAGAGGTTCTCGAGGCCCGCCTGCTCCCTGTGGCCTCCACTGCCACTAGTCCTAGGAGAATAGCGGATGCCGCAAAATGGCTGCTGGCTACCCTAGAGCTATCCCCTGCCCCCGCCCATCCCAGGTGACTAAGGCCACGCATGCCAGGGGGACGGATCTCTGGTTCCCCTAACAGCGCCCAGCATCTGGCAAGAAGAGGAACAAGAGAGGAAAGGGGCGGGGCCAACATTAAATATCTTGCTAACACCATTTTGTGTGACTATTTATTGGCTATTTAATTTAATGCGCTTTCAGCTGCGTTTGATTCAGTCAGGTAGAGTGTCCATTATATGTGCCAAATACACTTGCTCATCAGATTAAATTTAGTTCAGATTACATCGATATAAATCTCAGTGTATGTGCTGACTCAGGTAGCTGCACAGAATAGTGGCTGTTGTTGATTATTAATTGCACTGAAATGTGGAAACCTGCCTGTGATGCATTGATGACGTGAGTGCACTGCTCCACCAGTCTACCAATTTACCACTTGACCACATGCGTTCTACCTGTGCCGAAAGCTAGCCAGGTTAGAATCCGTGAGCTTTCAGCACACTCTCCGCTCTGCCTACAGGCTTGAATTTGTCAATATGCCAAGATGATTCTGTCAACAGAATCCCGATGCACTTCCACGCCCATCTTGGCACATCTCAGTGTGCCTCGGTTGACCACTTTAACAAATTGGCTGCACATAGAGCTTTGCTGCACAAATTTACCACTGCAGAGGTTGCGCCACCCTGTGCTGCATGGCTGGTGGGCATGGATTTAGAGTCCTGTGTTAGCAACAAGCAGAAAGAACTGTGTAAAAAATAAGAATTAAACAATAAATTCTGCCATAAGCTAGAAGAAATTCAGCAAGCCTTCAAAGCCTACTGTAAGGACTTCCATACCCAACCTGATAAAGCTAATAACTCTATAATTGATGTGTTCTTAAATCTCTGGATCTTCCTTCAGTTGTGGAACATCAAAATGATGCATTGATGCATGACATAAATTATTTGCCTAAATTATGGCTAAAAAGATAAAACACATTGTCTCTTAAGTGATAGACCCAGACCAAGAATCAGTGGTCAACTCACACAATCCATCAAGCTAGAGAGAGGTTGTAGACAGGACTGCCCACTAAGCGCTGCCCTTTTTGTGTTCTTCATAGAGCCCTTGGCTCAGGCAATGAGCCAAGGGCTCTAAGACACTAAGGGAATTTCTATCGGAGATAATGAACATAAGCAAAGCTTGTTTGCAGATGATTATTGCTTACTTTAACTGACTTACTGAGAAGTGCACTTAAGGTCATGTCTCCTCTTACACTGTTTGGCTCATGTTCTGGATATAAATTGAATAGACATAATACCCAGATACTCTCTTACAACTTCACACCAAATTCTTACTTGAAAGTCAAGTTTGATTTTAAGTGGGATGACCTGGGAGTTTGATTTTTAAAAGACATCTCAAAAAATATGAGACAAATTACGATCCAGTCACAAAGACAAAGTAGATCTAAATAGATAGACAGTACTGCTCCTTGACCTATCTAATAGAATTGAGACAGAAAAAAATGGATGTCCTTCCCTGGTTCCTGTACTTATTCCACTCACCTCCTATAGAGTGTCCTTTAAGGATTTTAGGGAATGGAACAGAAGGATATCAAGATTTATCTGGACCAGCAAAAGGCTCTGATTTAGATATAAAACCCTGCAGTTACTCCAAGATGAGAGTGGACTTTCTCTTCCATGTGTGGACATTGCCCAGCTAAGACCCCTAGTATGCTGGTGTAATCCAAACTACTCTGCCAAATGGAAAGATTTTGAATTAATGCAATCTGAAGCATCAACGCAGTCTTTATTTGGTAACTGCCAGCACCAAGATCCACATCTGGATAAAATAAACAATTGGACCAAAGTTGCTCTTAAGGTGTGGTACAACACTTGCAGAAAACTCTGTCAGGAGAAACATGCAAAAATATTAAAATGGATGACTCGTAGTTTATACTATCAGTTTTAGATAAGCAATTAAGGCAGTGGGCACACAATGGTATATAGCCGACTGCACTATAACTGATAAGGATGGTCTACTGTCTTTCTTTCATATACAGATTGGAAATAGAGGATATGTTTGGGTACTTTAAGGTCAGAGACTACTTCAACAAGGAAATTAAACAGAAAATAGGGACTCCAGGCTGATCAGTATATTTACTAATGCCTATAAGGCTAAAAAAAGTAAATATTTAATATAACACATTTATAAAGGGCTACAAAATTCTAAGACCCAAGTTTCTTTTTAGGTTACGTAAAGATAGGAGGGGGAGTCTAGCCAGGAGATACGGGTGACTGGAGATTTATTTGGGTGGTTCAAGCTAAGACCACCAACTCCTGAGCCTGGCAAGAATTCTGGTGGAAGAATATAATAAAATTGAAATTTAGACAGCAGGGTCTTCAGGGACAGGATAAATGCAGGAGACAGTGTGGACTGACAGTGACTGTCAACTTTCATATTTTCTGGGACTTCCCACTCATTCAACAAGAACTTGCTGGAGAAATTCAGACAACCAAGGAACAAATGGATTACCATTGTTAGCCAAATTTAATGCATGGAAAAACTGACCTTCTCTCTTAGATCACAGTATACAACGTTCTCGGAAAAGACTTTACAGAATTCGATGTGTAACTTGTCTGTGTGAATGATCACTCTAATTAGCATGAACACATGACCTACGCCAAGCTGGTGAACCTGTCTGTTCACCTGTATTCTCTGTTTATTTTTTGCTCTCTTTGCTTGTGTGATTGCTTTTCAAATGCTGGAAAAAAAGATTATACAAAGAAGGTTTCAAAAAATAAACTGGAATTGTTTACAAACGAGAGCAAGGGATGCAGTGTCCATAATTTCTAAAGACAGTCAAAGTTGTTTTTTTAACTCCCCCTTAGTCCGTTTTAAACCTGCCAGGGCCCTGAGGAGTCATCTGCCTTTCTGCATACTGAATGCAAATATATGGTTTCTCTTTGCACCACACACTTGTAACTTTCATTGGGTTTAGATGCACCAACAAACACTGTTCACTGAGGGTTTTTTCTTTTTGTTTTCGTTTTGGATTGTTCTCTTAAGTAATTAAAGGGATTCAGGTTCTGGTCCTTTTCCCATGTTGCTTAAGGTCTGATCGACATGAATGTGCTTCAATTTATGGAAAATATCAATTCAGATAAGAATTACAAACTTTTTTAGATCGAGAGTAGCTGAAATATTTATCTAGTCTTAATATTTCTGAATTAAGCTTTCACTGGAAAGCTTTCTGATCAAGTTGGGAATATTTTGTTTTCAATGCAGATATCTAAAAATCCCACTGTTTCAGTTTAGTTGTAGTGTCAGCAAAATTTTTCTGAGTTAAGTGATTTCTAAATTAATTCCAAAAGGTTTGGTTCCCCCTTAAAAATGATTGTTGTCTTTGTTTGTTCATGTGGTTTCAGCCTTCCATATCCCACTACAGACTGTGGCTGTGGTTAAGGTGTCATAAATTGGGATCCTTGACAAGGTACAAAGCTTTCTTAATCAAAGTAATTTGATTGGCATAAGATAGAACTTTTTTTCTCATGTCAAAGTAAAATGGATGCCATAATTGTCTGCCTTTAGTAGCTAAAGTACTCTTGTCTTTTTTTTTCCAGCATGTTGAATTTACCCATTCCTGATGTGGACTTGAAATATCTGGAGAAACTCAAAGTAAGTATAACCTTATTGTTATTGATCATGGTCATTCTTTAGACACTGTTTTAAAGGTAAACAGGATTTTATAATTTAAACTCTTATGTTATAATTATTGAACAGTAACATTATGTAGCTGCTGATCAATCTGTTTGTTTTTGTGTAATCAGCCTCCTGTCTCTGATGATGTGCTGTGGGCATTGCTTAAGAGTCATGGAAAGAAACCTGATGAAGGGTATGACACCAATTATTTTAATTCAATCAATTAATTAATTAATTAATTATTGTGGAGCAGAGGCAATACATGGTGACTTGTGCTCTGTTTGATAAAGGTGTGATGTGCTGTTTTTAAGCAGTAACAGTGTTCTGTTGTCTTTTGCTGTAGTTTGAAGATTCCTGATGTGTACATCAAACAGGCGGAGCATCTAGTGGTAAGTAGCTTCTTTACTCTTTTTTTAAAGGAGACCTGCCATCAAAATTTCATACCCATTTTTATCATTTTTTCATAATCCTTGATGTCCTCTGATCATGTTTGCAACATAATTTTAGCTGAAAAGTTATTTGATGGTTTGTTTCAAACCATTTTAGTGTGTCTAAAAAACCTTACAGAAAAAAACAACTGATTTCGGCTCATTAACATTTATGGTAATGAGCTTTGCTCTGATTGGATCGCTGCTGTGAAGCCTGCTGTGCTCTGATTGGCTCAGCAGTGGAGGTTCGGATTTCGGTTTATCCATTTTGCTAATGTGTGCTAAAGTAAGGTGCCCAGATGTTTGTAATGATATCCGGGGATATTCGGTGTGGCGGCGGTGGCAGGGAGGGTGGAGGGGCTTCGTGATCACAGACAACCTCTCTGTACTATTTAGTAGCAGCGCATGCCCCTTGTAATAACCCCGTAAGAACTGTTGTTCAGGACTGCTAACTTGTGCTTCCTACCTATTCGGCTACAGTAATAACCGTTGTTCGAGCCCACACGCAACATTTTTGCTCTCATTCATGAAACGCTTAAAACAGGGACATTTTCGGGGACAGCTTTTGCCGGGGACAGGTCATCCAATTCGGGGACTGTCCCCGGAAATCGGGGACGTCTGGTCACCTTATGCTAAAGGATAAAAATGGCAGGTATTAAACCATATATTTTAGACCCCGAGTCCGAAGAGGAGGTGGAAGTTGAAGAAGAAGCCAGAGATCTCCAGCGGTGTCTTCATTCATTCTGCCCAGCTTTAAATTCATTTTCCCGGCAGTGAACCCAAGGAAACACCGGTCGTTTGGAAGAGACCCATAGCGGATACAGTGGTAGCTGGGTCTCGCTCTGGCTGGAGAGTGATGTTGACTGTGAATGAGTATGAGAACGAGAGAGTGGGCGTGGGTAACCAAGGATGCGCTCGTGAATAATAATGAGCAAGGTTGGCATGACGTCAGAAGGACCTGCCTTTTCAATTGGCCCGTTTCTTTTTTTTAAACCTTTACAGAATGCAAACGACGTAACGGTTTGTTTTCACATTTACAACATAAGACGAACATAATATGGACCTCATCTGACACAAAAACACACAAAATTACATTTTTGATGGCAGGTCCCCTTTAAAATCATTCACACTTCAACTAGAGGACAATCCAAAGATTGACATATTTGGTCAAGATTGGTCAAGAATGTCAACTTTGGTTTGATAGAAGACAACATAGGATACCACACAACTCATCCCATCTTTTCATAATTGATTACATTACTTGATATGGTTTCAGCCTTCACTACCCCAGCACAATTTGTGGACATGGATGGCGCACCATCATTTGGCATCCTTGGGAAGGTATGAAAGCCATTTCCAAGTATTAAAAATGTAGTTTTTTTGTTGTTTGAACAAAGTTAATGAACTCCGGCTGTCACATAAGATGGAATGATCCAGTTTGTCTCAGGTATAATGAGGAGAAAGGAGAGATTGTCAGCCTTTGAGTTGATGAAATAATTTTGTGTGTTTTTCTGTAGTTTGCTGCATTTACCCGTCCTCCAAGTGGACTTGAAACAACTGGAGAAACTCAAGGTGATTATGGACTCCTTGTTTACTTGTTTTTAAATATTCTTAGTCAGTATGAAAAAACAAATTTAAAAACATGTTTTGAGATGTGTGTGCAGACCATGTATCTTATAACCAGTTGTGGAGATTTTTCTTATGCCCTTGGTTTCTGATGGTAAAGAACAGTTGTCCAATCCATGGGACCTGCTGTATCACTGTGGTTTAAGGTTTTTGATGAAGCCCTTCATGACTCTGCTTGGTTTGTTTATGGGTTTTCAGGCTCCTGTCTCAGATGATGAGTTGTGGGCTTTGCCGAAGAGTCCCAAGAAAAGAAAGCCTGGAGAAGCGTATGGAACCATTTCCTTAATCAAATGGCCAAACTGTAGGGTTAAGGTTACACAGGGGTACCTCAAAATTTAGGAGATAACTGTTGTCCAAAAGTGTGTGCTCTGTTAAATAAAGGTGTGATGTGCTACTCTTGAGCAATGACAGTGCTCTGTTGCCTTTTGCTGTAGTTTGAAGATTCCTGATGTGGACATCAAAGAGGCAGAGCATCTAGCAGTAAGTAGCTCTTTTTCTGTTAACTTAAAATTATCCTTGTGTCCACTAGGCGACAATCCAAAGACTGACATATTTGGTCAAGATTTGCAGTTAAGCAGAATCCATGATTTCAAAAAAGAATGTCAAATTTGATTTGATAGAAGACAATGTAGCATACCACACAACTCATCCCATCTTTTCAAAAATGATTATATTACTTGATATGGTTTCAGCCTTCACTACCCCAGCACTACTTGTGGACATGGATGGTGCACCATCATTTGGCATCCTTGGGAAGGTATGAAAGCCATTTTCAAGTATTAAAAATGTAGTTTTTTTGTTGTTTGAACAAAGTAAATGAACTCCGGTTGTCACATTAGATGGAATGATCCAGTTTATCTCAGGTATCATAAGAAGAAAGAAGTGATTTTCAGCTTTTGAGTTTATGAAATTGTACTGTGTGCTTTTCTGCAGTTTGCTGCATTTACCCATCCCCCAAGTGGACTTGAAACAACTGGAGAAACTTAAGGTGATCATAGACTCCTTGTAACCTTGTTTTTGTTTTCGATAATTCTTAGTCGTTATGAAAAAAACAAACATAAACACTTGCCTTGACTTGTGTGTGGACCTTGCATCTTAAACACAGTTGTGGTGATTGTTCTTATGCCCCTAGTTTCTGATGGTAGTATACAGTTGTTTAATCCATAGGACCTGCTGTATATCTTTGGTTTTAGGAGTTTGTTGAAATTGTTCATGACTCTGCTTGGTTTGTTTATGGGTTTTCAGCCTCCTGTCTCAGATGATGAGTTGTGGGCTTTGCCGAAGAGTCCCAAGAAAAGAAAGCCTGAAGAAGGGTATGGAACCATTTTCCTATTTAAATGGCTAAACTGTAGAATTAAGGTTATACGGGGGATTGGGGGAATGTAACTGTTGTCCAAAAGGTTTGTGCTCTGTTTGATAAAAATGTGATGTGCTGCTTTTTGGCACTGACATTGTTCTGTTGACTCTTGCTGTAGTTTAAAGATTCCTGATGTGGACATCAAACAAGTGGAGCATCTAGCGGTAAATAGCTCTTTTTCTGTTTACTTAAAATCATTAATTTTTCCACTTGGAGACAATCCAAAGATTGACATATTTGGACAAGATTTGCAGTTAAGCAGAACCCATGATTTTCACAAACTCATTCCATGTTCTCCAATTTGATTGTATTTCTTGATGTGGTTTCAGCCTTCACTACCTCAGCACTACTTGTGGACATGGTTGAAGCATCACAACTTGGCATCCTTGGGAAGGTATCAAAGCTTATTTCCACAGAGTGCATGAACTGATATTTGCTTTTATTGAAATGATTGAGTGATTGTCTGCTTTTTGAGTATAATAGAAATACTTCTGTGTCTTTTTTCCTGTAGTTTGCTGCATTTACCCATCCCTCAAGTGGACTTGAAGCAACTGGAGAAACTCAAGGTAATCACTAACCTTGTCTCATCCTGTTAATCCCAACGGTGTGTTTGGCTGTAAAGGAAAAGAAAAAAAATCTTTAGATTTATCTTTTGTTAACCGGTTATGGTTAAAGATCCAACTTAAATCTGGTCTGATTGTGTTGCGTTTTTTGTTTCTTTTAAACTATTACTATTTTTGGACCTCAAGATTTCTGTTTCGTAGTTAACCAATATGTCTTCGTAATAATCAGTGAAAACAACCACGAAAAAAATAATCTGTGGTCCAAATAAATTTGTTTATTTTTCTTATTGAGTTAAGACTTGGAACCAGATGGTTAGGGTTAGGGGTTTTCTTTGAAATAAATGAGATTTTAAAGCTTGTGTTTGTTGTTCTTTACTGATTAGGTGGGATTAATAGAATAGTATTATTTCTATTAGCAGGATAACATTTGATTTCACTTGAAAGCAGAGTATTTATCGTTTGTAAGATGTAGCAGTACATCAGTCTGAATGGTTTGTTCATGTGTTTTCAGCCTCCTGTCTCAGATGACCAGTTGTGGGCTTTGCTGAAGGATCACAAAAAGAAGGCTGAAGAAGGGTAAGGCACTAATTGTTGGAGAAATGTACAAATTGTGGGGCAAAAAGATGCAGGGTCACCATAAGGTTAGGATGGGAAAATGGCTTTCAAATAGTTTGTTAAGAAACGTGTGCCTTGCTTTAGTTTCAGAATTTGGGTAAATATTATTGGCTGGCTTTTTGTTGATCAGAGCGCTCTTCTTTTTTTTTCTGTAGCTTAAATATTCCTGACGTGAACATCAAACAGGTGGAGCATCTGATGGTAATCAACACTATTCTTTTTTATCCATTACAATCATTTTGATTATTCACAATCCATCAAAACGATTGTATTATTTTATATTTGGCACATCATCCTGACCTTTCTTCAGCTGGATTGTACTTTTGTGTCATTTAAATGATTCATTCTGTCATCTTACTTGTCAGCCCTGTTACTAAAGTCCTGATCTTCACGATCCATTAATAACTTTTATTGGTTCCAATCCAACTTTTTTTTTTTTCATTTGTTTGTGTGTTTGTTTTGTTTTGTTTTTAATGAAAATGGGTTTTCATAAAAGTTAGAACTTTTACACTTTTTCAGTTTGACAGGAGTTTGAACTTTATGAAATTTGTGGCACATCCAACTGCAGTAGTTCAATGATACAGTATGTTTATAGGTTTTTTGGATTAAATTCAAATTTGGTCACTTATGTGAAATAACTTTCTACATATAAAAAGTGTTATTTACTTTTTCCTTTAATTGGTTTTGCTAAATACTGAGTCTCCCACTCCAAGTTGGAAATATTTGGGTATTTATTTGAGAGGTTTTAATCCTTGTTCTAAACATTCTTTGTTGGGGTCCAACTGATCTTATTTTAATAATCATCTGATTTCTACTCAGATCCAGATGATTAACTTCCCTCTTAAAATGATTGTTGTCTTTGTTTGTTCATGTGGTTTCAGCCTTCCATATCTCACTATAAACTGTGGCTGTGGTTGAAGTGTCATAAATTGGGATCTTTGACAAGGTATGAAAGTTTTCTTACAGTAAGAGAATTGAAGTTTCTACATTGAAGTGCGAAAGAGTCCTGGTCTATTTAAGAACTGATGAAAGATGCTCTCATGTCTTCATCTGTAGTTTACTGCATTTACCCATCCCTGATGAGGATCTGAAAAAACTGGAGAAGCTCAAGGTAATCATTTTTTTTTTTTCCATTTCAACCAATATGTTACTTTTTACAATTTATTATTTTTAATTCTCTCAAAGATAGAATACTATTGGATCTATGTAGGAGCTCATCACTTTGCTTTGTTGGTTTATGGGTTTTCAGCCTTCTGTCTCAGATGATGAGCTGTGGGCTTTGCTTAAAAGTCCCCCAAAGAGGAAGCCTGAAGAAGGGTATGGAACCAGTTCCTTAATCAAATTGCTTATCTGAAGGGTTAAGGTTAACCTGGGGTTACCTTAAGATTGAGAATGTAATTGTTGTCCGAAAGGTTTGTGCTCTGTTTGATAAAAGCGTGATGTGCTACTTTTCAGCAATGACATTGTTCTGTTGTCTTTTGCTGTAGTTTGAAGATTCCTGACATGGACATCAAACAAGTGGAGCATCTAGCGGTAAATAGCTCTTTTCCTGTTTACTTAAAATCATTCATGTTCACTTAGGCTACAAAGCAAAGATCGACATATTTGGACAGATTTAGAGTGATCCAAGGTCAATGTTATTCAAAAAGAATGTCATCTTTGATTTGATAGAAGAATAAATATCTTACCTCACAACTCATCCCATCTTCACCTATTTAATTGTATTTCTTGTCGGGTCTCAGCCTTCACTACCCCAGCACTACTTATGGACATGGTTGGCGCACCATCATTTGGCATCCTTGGGAAGGTATGAAAGCTATTTCCAAGTATTAAAAACATAGTTTTTTGTTATTTGAACAAAGTAAATGAATTAAAGCTGTCTAACAAGATGGAATGATTTGGTTTGTCTCAAGTATTATAAAAAAGAAGTGATTGTCATTTTTTGAAGTTGATTAAATGTTCTGTATTTTCTGTAGTTTGCTGCATTTACCCGTCCCCCAAGTGGACTTAAAACAACTGGTGACACTCAAGGTGATCATGGACTTCTTGTTACCTGATTTTGTTTTCAATTATTCTGAGTCAGTTTGAAGCAATTAATGGATATATGTGCCTTGACTTGTGCGTAAAACTTGCATCTTATAACCACTTGTGGAAAAAGTTATTATGCCCATGGTTTCCAATGGTTGTGGACATTTGTTTGTCCAATCCATGGGACCTGCTGTATCACTGCATTTTTAGTTGTTTGATTAAAATTTTCATCAATCTGCTTGGTTTGTTTATGGGTTTTCAGCCTCCTGTGTCAGATGACGAGTTGTGGGCTCTGCTTAAAAGTCCCCCAAAAAGCAAGCCTGAAGAAGGGTATGGAACCATTTTCTTATTTAAATGGCTAAACTGTAGGATTAAGGTTACACGGGCGCACCTCAAGATTCACAATGTAACTGTTGTCCAAAATGCTTGTGCTCTGTTTGATAACGGTGTGATGTGCTGCTTTTTGGCACTGACATTGTTCTGTTGTCTCTTGCTGTAGTTTGAAGATTCCTGATGTGGACATCAAACAGGTGGAGCATCTAGCGGTACATAACTCTTTTACTCTTTTCTTTAATAATCACATTTCCACTAGATGACAATCTAAAGATATACATACTGAGACAAGATTTGCGGTCAAGGAGAATCCATGATTTTCAAACATAATGTCCCCTTTGATTTGATAGCAAACAACATGGCGTACCACACAATTCATCCCACCTTCTCCTATTTGATTGTATTTCTTGATGTGGTTTCAGCCTTCACTACCCCAGCACTACTTGTGGACATGGTTGGCACACCATCATTTGTCATCCCTAGGAAGGTATGGAAGCCATTTATAATTATTAAAAACATAGTGAATGAATTATAGCTGTCTAACAAGATGGAATGATGTGGTTTGTCACTGGTATTTTACGAAGAAAGGAGTGAGTGTCAGCTTTCAAAGTTGATGACAATGCTCTGCGTGTTTTTCTGTAGTTTGCTGCATTTACCCATCCCCCAAGTGAACTTGAAACAACTGAAGAAACTCAAGGTGATCATGGAATCCTTGTTACCTTGTTTTTGCATTTTCTGAATCAGTTTGAAGAAACACTTATGAACACATGCTTTGACTTGTGTGCGGACCATGCATCTTATAACCAGTTGTGGTGATTGTTCTTATGCCCATGGTTTCTGATAGTTGTGGACATTTGTTTGTCCAGTTCATGGGACCTGCAGTATTACTGTGGTTTAGGGTTTTTGATGAAGCCCTTCATAACTCTGCTTGTTTTTTTTTATGGGTTTTCAGCCTCCTGTCTCAGATGACGAGTTGTGGGCTTTGCTTGAAAGTCCGAAGAAGAGGAAGCCTGAAGAAGGGTATGGAACTATTTCCTTAATCAAATTGCTTATCTGAAGGGTCAGGGTTAAACAGGGGTACCTCAAGATTCAAAATCTAACTGTTGTCCAAAAGGCTTGTGCTCTGTTTGATAAAAGTGTGATGTGCTACTTTTAGCAATGACAATGTTCTGTTGTCTTTTGCTGTAGTTTAAAGATTCCTGATGTGGACATCAAACAAGTGGAGCATCTAGCGGTAAATAGCTCTTCTTTTTTTTTTTTTGTTAAAAACATTCATGTTCAACTAGGCGACAATCTAAAGATTGATATATTTGGACAGATTTGGAGTGATCAAAGTTAATGTTATCCAAAAAGAATATCAACTTTGATTTGATAGAAGACAACATTGCTTACCAAACAACTCATCCCATGTTCTCCTATATGATTGTATTTCTTGATGTGGTTTCAGCCTTCACTACCCAAGCACTACCTGTGGACATGGTTGAAGCATCACAACTTGGCATCTTTGGGAAGGTATAAAAGCTTATTTCCACAAAGTGGATGGACTGATAATTGCTCTTATTGGAATAATTGAGTGATTGTCTGCTTTCTGAGTATATTAGAAATACTTCTGTGTCTTTTTTCCTGTAGTTTGCTGCATTTACCCATCCCTCAAGTGGACTTGAAGCAACTGGAGAAACTCAAGGTAATCACTAATCGTTTCTCATCCTGTTAATCCCAACGGTATGTTTGGCTGTAAAGGAAAAAAACACAGGCTTTAGATTTGTCTTTTTTTATCGGTTAGGCTGAAAGTTCCAAACAAATTCTGGTCTTATTGTTTGGGGTTTTTTGTTTTTTTTAAACTAATACTATTTTTGGACCTCAGGATTTCTGTTTGCTAGTTAACCAATATGTCTTCATAATAATCTGTGAAAATGTTTTTGATCTGAACCACGAAAACAATCTGTGGTCCAATTGAGTTTGTTTATTTCTCTTGTTGAGTTTACACTTGGAACCAGATGGTTAGGGTCAGGGGTTTTCTTTGAAATGAATGAGATTTAAAAGCTTGTGTTTTTTTTGTTCTTTTTTGAATTAGGTATGATTAATAAAATAGTATTATTTCTATTAGCAGGATAACATTTGATTTCTCTTGGAAGCAGAGTATTTATTGTTTGTCAGATGTAGCAGTACATCAGTCTGAATGGTTTGTTCATGTGTTTTCAGCCTCCTGTCTCAGATGACCAGTTGTGGGCTTTGCTGAAGGATCACAAAAAGAAGGCTGAAGAAGGGTAAGGCACTAATTGTTGGAGAAATGTACAAATTGTGGGGCAAAAAGATGCAGGGTCACCACAAGGTTAGGATGGGAAAATGGCTTTCAAATAGTTTGTTAAGAAACGTGTGCCTTGCTTTAGTTTCAGAATTTGGGTAAATATTATTGGCTGGCTTTTGTTGATGAGAGCGCTCTTCTTTTTTTCTGTAGCTTGAATATTCCTGACGTGAACATCAAACAGGTGGAGCATCTGATGGTAATCAACACTTTTCATTTTTATCCATTACAATCATTTAGATGATTCACAATCCATCTAAACGATATTATTATTTCATATTTGGCACATCATCCTGACCTTTCTTCAGCTGGATTGTACTTTTGTGTCATTTAAATGATTTATTCTGTCATCTTACTTGTCAGCCCTGTTACTTAAGTCCTGATCTTCACGATCCATTAATAACCTTTATCTGTTCCAATCCAACTTTTTTTTTCATTTGTTTGTGTGTTTTGTTTTGTTTTTAATGAAAATGGGTTTTCATAAAAGTTAGAACTTTTACACTTTTTCAGTTTGACAGGAGTTTGAACTTTATGAAATTTAGGGCACATCCAACTGCAGTAGTTCAATGATACAGTATGTTTGTAGGTTTTTTGGATTAAATTCAAATTTGGTCACTTATGTGAAATAACTTTCTCCATATGAAAAGTGTTATTTACTTTTTACTTTAATTGGTTTTGCTAAATACTGAGTCTCCCACTCCAAGTTGGAAACATTTGGGTATTTATTTGAAGATATGTCATATCAGAGGTTTTAATCCTTGTTCTAAACATTCTTTGTTGTGGTCCAACTGATCTTATTTTAATAATCATCCGATTTCTACTCAGATCCAAATCATTAACTTCCCTTTTAAAATGATTGTTGTCTTTGTTTGTTCATGTGGTTTCAGCCTTCCATATCTCACTATAAACTGTGGCTGTGGTTGAAGTGTCATAAATTGGGATCTTTGACAAGGTATGAAAGTTTTCTTAAAGACTGTAAGTGGATTGAAGTTTCTACGTTGAAGTGCAAAGGGTCCTGGTCTATTAAAGAACTGATGAAAGATGCTCTCATGTCTTCATCTGTAGTTTGCTGCATTTACCCATCCCTGATGAGGATCTGAAAAAACTGGAGAAGCTCAAGGTAATCTTTTTTTTGTTGTTTTTTTCATTTCAACCAATATGTTACTTTTTATAATTTATTATTTTTAATTCTCTCAAAGATAGAATACTATCGGATATATGTAGGAGCTTATCACTTTGCTTTGTTGGTTTATGGGTTTTCAGCCTTCTGTCTCAGATGATGAGCTGTGGGCTTTGCTTAAAAGTCCCCCAAAGAGGAAGCCTGAAGAAGGGTATGGAACCATTTCCTTGATCAAATTGCTTATCTGAAGGGTTAAGGTTAACCTGGGGTTACCTTAAGATTGAGAATGTAATTGTTGTCCGAAAGGTTTGTGCTCTGTTTGATAAAGGTGTGATGTGCTGCTTTTTGGCACTGACAATGTTCTGTTGTCTTTTGCTGTAGTTTGAAGATCCCTCACATGGACATCAAACAAGTGGAGCATCTAGCGGTAAATAGCTCTTTTCCTGTTTACTTAAAATCATTCATGTTCACCTAGGCTACAAAGCAAAGATCGACATATTTGGACAGATTTAGAGTGATCCAAGGTCAATGTTATTCAAAAAGAATGTCATCTTTGATTTGATAGAAGAAGAAATATCTTACCTCACAACTTATCCCATCTTCTCCTATTTGATTGTATTTCTTGTCGGGTCTCAGCCTTCACTACCCCAGCACTACTTATGGACATGGTTGGCGCACCATCATTTGGCATCCTTGGGAAGGTATGAAACATGTTTCCAAGTATTAAAAACATAGTTTTTTTTTTGTTATTTGAAAAAAGTGAATGGATTACAGCTGTCTAACAAGATGGAATGATTTGGTTTGTCTCAAGTATTTTAAAAAAAGAAGTGATTGTCATTTTTTGAAGTTGATGAAATGTTCTGTATTTTCTGTAGTTTGCTGCATTTACCCGTCCCCCAAGTGGACTTAAAACAACTGGTGACACTCAAGGTGATCATGGACTTCTTGTTACCTGATTTTGTTTTCAATTATTCTGAGTCAGTTTGAAGCAATTAATGGATATATGTGCCTTGACTTGTGCGTAAAACTTGCATCTTATAACCACTTGTGGAAAAAGTTATTATGCCCATGGTTTCCGATGGTTGTGGACATTTGTTTGTCCAATCCATGGGACCTGCTGTATCACTGCATTTTTAGTTGTTTGATTAAAATTATCATCAATCTGCTTGGTTTGTTTATGGGTTTTCAGCCTCCTGTCTCAGATGACGAGTTGTGGGCTCTGCTTAAAAGTCCCCCAAAAAGCAAGCCTGAAGAAGGGTATGGAACCATTTTCTTATTTAAATGGCTAAACTGTAGGATTAAGGTTACACGGGCGCACCTCAAGATTCACAATGTAACTGGTGTCCAAAAGGCTTGTGCTCTGTTTGATAAAAGTGTGATGTGCTGCTTTTTGGCACTGACATTGTTCTGTTGTCTTTTGCTGTAGTTTGAAGATTCCTGATGTGGACATCAAACAGGTGGAGCATCTAGCGGTACATAACTCTTTTACTCTTTTCTTTAATGATCACATTTCCACTAGATGACAATCTAAAGATATACATACTGAGACAAGATTTGCAGTCAAGGAGAATCCATGATTTTCAAACATAATGTCACCTTTGATTTGATAGCAAACAACATAGCGTACCACACAATTCATCCCACCTTCTCCTATTTGATTGTATTTCTTGATGTGGTTTCAGCCTTCACTACCCCAGCACTACTTGTGGACATGGTTGGCACACCATCATTTGTCATCCCTGGGAAGGTATGGAAGCCATTTCTAAGTATTAAAAACATAGTGAATGAAATACAGCTGTCTAACAAGATGGAATGATGTGGTTTGTCACTGGTATTTTACGAAGAAAGGAGTGAGTGTCAGCTTTCAAAGTTGATGACAATGCTCTGCGTGTTTTTCTGTAGTTTGCTGCATTTACCCATCCCCCAAGTGGACTTGAAACAACTGGAGAAACTCAAGGTGATCATGGCATCCTTGTTACCTTGTTTTTGCATTTTCTGAATCAGTTTGAAGAAACACTTATGAACACATGCTTTGACTTGTGTGTGGACCATACATCTTATAACCAGTTGTGGTGATTGTTCTTATGCCCATGGTTTCTGATAGTTGTGGACATTTGTATGTCCAGTTCATGGGACCTGCAGTATTACTGTGGTTTAGGGTTTTTGATGAAGCCCTTCATAACTCTGCTTGGTTTTTTTTATGGGTTTTCAGCCTCCTGTCTCAGATGACGAGTTGTGGGCTTTGCTTGAGAGTCCGAAGAAGAGGAAGCCTGAAGAAGGGTATGGAACCATTTCCTTAATCAAATTGTTTATCTGAAGGGTCAGGGTTAAACAGGGGTACCTCAAGATTCAAAATCTAACTGTTGTCCAAAAGGCTTGTGCTCTGTTTGATAAAAGTGTGATGTGCTACTTTTAGCAATGACAATGTTCTGTTGTCTTTTGCTGTAGTTTAAAGATTCCTGATGTGGACATCAAACAAGTGGAGCATCTAGCGGTAAATAGCTCTTCTTTTTTTTTTTTTGTTAAAATCATTCATGTTCAACTAGGCGACAATCTAAAGATTGATACATTTGGACAGATTTGGAGTGATCAAAGTCAATGTTATCCAAAAAGAATATCAACTTTGATTTGATAGAAGACAACATTGCTTACCAAACAACCCATCCCATGTTCTCCTATATGATTGTATTTCTTGATGTGGTTTCAGCCTTCACTACCCCAGCACTACTTGTGGACATGGTTGAAGCATCACAACTTGGCACCCTTGGGAAGGTATAAAAGCTTATTTCCACAAAGTGGATGGACTGATAATTGCTCTTATTGGAATAATTGAGTGATTGTCTGCTTTCTGAGTATATTAGAAATACTTCTGTGTCTTTTTTCCTGTAGTTTGCTTCATTTACCCATCCCTCAAGTGGACTTGAAGCAACTGGAGAAACTCAAGGTAATCACTAACCGTTTCTCATCCTGTTAATCCCAACGGTATGTTTGGCTGTAAAGGAAAAAAACACAGGCTTTAGATTTGTCTTTTTTTATCGGTTAGGCTGAAAGTTCCAAACAAATTCTGGTCTTAATGTTTGGGGTTTTTTGTTTTTTTTAAACTAATACTATTTTTGGACCTCAGGATTTCTGTTTGCTAGTTAACCAATATGTCTTCATAATAATCTGTGAAAATGATTTTGATCTGAACCACGAAAACAATCTGTGGTCCAATTGAGTTTGTTTATTTCTCTTGTTGAGTTTACACTTGGAACCAGATGGTTAGGGTTAGGGGTTTTCTTTGAAATGAATGAGATTTAAAAAGCTTGTGTTTTTTTGTTCTTTTTTGAATTAGGTATGATTAATAAAATAGTATTATTTCTATTAGCAGGATAACATTATTGTTATTGTTTGTAAGATATAGCAGTACATCAGTCTGAATGGTTTGTTCATGTGTTTTCAGCCTCCTGTCTCAGATGACCAGTTGTGGGCTTTGCTGAAGGATCACAAAAAGAAGGCTGAAGAAGGGTAAGGCACTAATTGTTGGAGAAATGTACAAATTGTGGGGCAAAAAGATGCAGGGTCACCACAAGGTTAGGATGGGAAAATGGCTTTCAAATAGTTTGTTAAGAAACGTGTGCCTTGCTTTAGTTTCAGAATTTGGGTAAATATTATTGGCTGGCTTTTGTTGATGAGAGTGCTTTTCTTTTTTTTTCCTGTAGCTTGAATATTCCTGACGTGAACATCAAACAGGTGGAGCATCTGATGGTAATCAACACTTTTCATTTTTTTCCATTACAATCATTTTGATGATTCACAATCCATCAAAACGATTGTATTATTTTATATTTGGCACATCATCCTGACCTTTCTTCAGCTGGATTGTACTTTTGTGTCATTTAAGTGATTCATTCTGTCATCTTACTTGTCAGCTCTGTTACTTAAGTCCTGATCTTCACGATCCATTAATAACCTTTATTGGTTCCAATCCAACTTTTTTTTTTCATTTGTTTATGTGTTTTGTTTTGTTTTTAATGAAAATGGATTTTCATAAAAGTTAGAACTTTTACACTTTTTCAGTTTGCCAGGAGTTTGAACTTTATGAAATTTAGGGCACATCCAACTGCAGTACTTCAATGATACAGTATGTTTGTAGGTTTTTTGGATTAAATTCAAATTTGGTCACTTATGTGAAATAACTTTCTCCATATGAAAAGTGTTATTTACTTTTTTACTCTAATTGGTTTTGCTAAATACTGAGTCTCCCACTCCAAGTTGGAAATATTTGGGTATTTATTTGATATCTAATATCAGAGGTTTTAATCCTTGTTCTAAACATTCTTTGTTCTGGTCCAACTGATCTTATTTTAATAATCATCTGATTTCTACTCAGATCCAAATCATTAACTTCCCTCTTAAAATGATTGTTGTCTCTGTTTGTTCATGCTGTTTCAGCCTTCCATATCGCACTATAAACTGTGGCTGTGGTTGAAGTGTCATAAATTGGGATCTTTGACAAGGTATGAAAGTTTTCTTAAAGACAGTAAGAGGATTGAAGTTTCTACGTTGAAGTGCAAAAGAGTCCTGGTCTATTTAAGAACTGATGAAAGATGCTCTCATGTCTTCATCTGTAGTTTGCTGCATTTACCCATCCCTGATGAGGATCTGAAACAACTGGAGAAATTCAAAGTAGGCTCATCATCTTTTTTTTTTTTTGTTTCCTTTCAACCAATTTGTTACTTTTTACAATTAATTTTTATTTCAGTTAAATTTTTAAACCACAATATCTGTTGGAATGGTAGGAGTTTCTATGTCCTTATCAAATATTAAATCATACAAATTAAATTCTTGAGAATTTCATGTATTATTGGTTTGCAGCCTGTACTTTTGTAAGAAACAGCATTCATTATATCTACCACCAGGAGACTGATTGATAAAGAGGCAGTTTTATTTCATTTCAGCAAATTTATCTCAAAGATATAATTCTATCAGATGTTTAAAGAAGCTGCTTATCACTTTGCTTGTTTATAACTCTGCTTGGTTTGCTTACGGGTTTTCAGCCTCCTGTCTCAGATGATGAGTTGTGGGCTTTGCTGAAGAGTCCCAAGCAGAGTCCCAAGAAGAGGAAGCCTGAAGAAGGGTATGGAACCATTTCCTGAATGAAATGGCTAAACTGTAGGGTCAAGGTTAAACAGGGGTACTTCAAGATTGTTGTCCAAAAGGTTTATGCTCTATTTGATAAAAGTGTGATGTGCTGCTTTTCACCAATGACAGTGATCTGTTGTCTTTTGCTGTAGTTTGAAGATTCCTGATGTGGGTATCAAACAGGTGGATCATCTAGCGGTAAATAGCTCTTTTTCTGTTTACTTAAAATCATTAATGTTTCAACTAGGCGACAATCCAAAGATTGACATATTTGGACCAGATTTGCAGTCAATTAGAGTCCATAATTACAAAAAAAAAAGTCTTCTTTGATTTGATGGAAAACAACATAGCTTACCACACAACTCATGCCATGTTCTCCTATTTGATTGTATTTCTTGATGTGGTTTCAGCCTTCACTACCCAAGCACTACCTGTGGACATGGTTGAAGCATCACAACTTGGCATCCTTGGGAAGGTATAAAAAGCTTTTTTCCACAAAGTGGATGGACTGATATTTTCTTTTATTGGAATGATTGAGTGATTGTCTGCTTTTTGAGTATATTAGAAATACTTCTGTGTCTTTTTTCCTGTAGTTTGCTGCATTTACCCATCCCTCAAGTGGACTTGAAGCAACTGGAGAAACTCAAGGTAATTATTAACACCCTCTCATCTTGTTAATCCCAACCATATGTTGGACTCTGTTAAAGAAAAGAAAAAAAAATCTTCAGATTTATCTTTTTTTACCAGTTATGGTCAAAATTCTGACTGAATTCTGTTGAATCGTTTTGGATTTTTCCTTGTAACATTTGATTTCACTTGAAAGCAGTGTATTTATCGTTTGTAAGATGTAGCAGTACATCAGTCTGAATGGTTTGTTCATGTGTTTTCAGCCTCCTGTCTCAGATGACCAGTTGTGGGCTTTGCTGAAGGATCACAAAAAGAAGGCTGAAGAAGGGTAAGGCACTAATTGTTGGAGAAATGTACAAATTGTGGGGCAAAAAGATGCAGGGTCACCACAAGGTTAGGATGGGAAAATGGCTTTCAAATAGTTTGTTAAGAAACGTGTGCCTTGCTTTAGTTTCAGAATTTGGGTAAATATTATTGGCTGGCTTTTGTTGATGAGAGTGCTTTTCTTTTTTTTCTGTAGCTTGAATATTCCTGACGTGAACATCAAACAGGTGGAGCATCTGATGGTAATCAACACTTTTCTTTTTTATCCATTACAATCATTTTGATGATTCACAATCCATCAAAACGATTGTATTATTTTATATTTGGCACATCATCCTGACCTTTCTTCAGCTGGATTGTACTTTTGTGTCATTTAAATGATTCATTCTGTCATCTTACTTGTCAGCCCTGTTACTTAAGTCCTGATCTTCACAATCCATTAATAACC